CTCGCGCCCAAATAAAAATGTCGCTCACTGTTTTGAAAGTCTTGCGAGCTCTGTTATCGGACATGTCGTGGGAAACACTAACGAGCTTTCGTAGCTTCCAGGAGGTTCGCGGAGCTTAGAAAATGCCACTCGCGCAGCTGTTTAGCGCATAACAGATTTCTTTGTGTACTTACCTATGCAATGAGCTGCTCTTGGTTTTATGCTCCTGCTTGCCCTCGATGGTTAGTACTCGTCCATCCAGGTGTACATTTAGTTCTTCTGGGCGGAACTGAGACACATCCAGCGTGACGGCGAACTTCTTGTCGTCGTCAACGGCCTAAATGAACAGTTACTTTCGCATCCACATAAGCTCAATTACAGGATACGGCAGATTTTAAAGTGCACCTTTACAGTATCGTTCGCCACATGAAGTACCGAATGATCAGCATTTCGCCAGTACGGGAAAATGGCCTTTTCCGTTCGATCAACATCTCGCATAGTATCGTACATAGCACGATGCATAAAATTTGGATTCACCAAATACAGTTCCATGATTAAGTGGGCGCACGGTAGAAAGTCTTTGGAATGCTTAACAAAGAATACTTATCGATTTTGTAATGGTAGAATGCGAACAAATTTCGAGAGCAAGCAACGGAAAAAAAGAGTAATTCATTGGTGACTTCTGTCAAGCAGATGTTCTTTCATTGCGTGGGTTGAGAGGCACTTTGTATCTTCTGGCTGAGCATTTGAAGCAAGGAAAACAAGGAAGACGGGAGAGAAACGAGGGTGAAAAGGAGGGAAAAGGAAGAAACAAGGAAGGAGGGGAGACTGCGGTTGACAGAGCCGTTGTTTGACGGGGTCCTCGAGAAGAAGAGAAGAAAGAAGAACCAGGAGGGAAACTCCGCGGTAAACAGATACACTGAGAAGGCGCTTCATTGGGGGGAAATACTGACCAAATTCAGAGGGAAGGGCAGCCTTGAACCAGCGTCAACTGAATATCAGGGTGCTTGATCCTCATCGTGGCGGGTTGAGGTCAAGGCGCTGACGAAGGTAGACGCCGAAACGAACGCCCAGAGCTCGTCTACTCTTGCACACGGCCTTAACACAGAAATGAACGTTGCTTGCGAGAACCGTATATGCAGGTAGTAAATGGGATAGAGTCGTGTCAGACAGAACTCCGTTGTAAGTAGAAGGGTTCGTAGGAGGCAGCCGAGTTGCTCACAAGGTAGGGGTGAGATCGATTCGGGAGGAGCGATTCTAACGTTCAGAGGAGCTGATGAAATCGTGCAGCACTCGCTGGCCGGTTGTTGATGAAAACGAAGCGAAAAACAGCCATGGCACAGATCGTGAGAGTATACTCGTCCCCTATGTGCCTCTACACGGGAGCAGCGTAAACAACTCCGTTCCACCCTCCCTTCCCAGACAATCGACATCGTGCTGCAGAACTGGCGATGTCTCTGTGCACGTTCCCCATGATACTACCACGTCTAATTGACGACGCTTTCTTGGAATTGGACGATATCGACAGAGCTCTACGTGCTCATGCAAGAAGGGATTCAAAAGCAATAGGTCAACTGGACAAGGTACGTACAGTAATCTCTCTGAATTGTTTTTTGCCCAGCACCTGGAAATCCCTTGCAGGTTGTCGACGATGATTCGAAACTGGCAATCTCGCTGAATGTTGAAGGCTTCAAGCCAGACGATCTGAATATGACTCTTGAGGACCGAGTTCTTACCGTTGAAGGGAAACAAGAGGTCAAGGAGGAGCACGGTTACGCGCTGAGGTACTTATATACTGTCGTTTGTTGAAACCTGAACGCGAGGGCAGGGTTTATATTCTCTTACTTTGGTCCAAACGGGGTTGCAAAACGGAATTAAATTGCTCTGAAGATTCGGCATTTTCATGGGAGGCCGAAGCAGGTCACATCGTTGTTGGGGAATCTCCAATAGGGGGATCGTATTTGGCCGCCAGGAGAGGGGGGGTCGTATTTGGGCTGGAAAAATTTATTTTGATAGTTGATTTTTCTCGCTTCTACGGTACGGTTGAAAGAGAGGAGGGCATTGGTATTTATTCTTGGGTTTGTTAGGTGGCCCTCCTGCCGACTCGACTCAGCAAACTTTTGGGAAAGTTGAGGAACTTCTCGAGGGAAATTTGGAAAAAAAAAAGTAGCAGGGAGTTAGGAAATCTGAAATTGGCTGGTAGAGCGGAGTCGTACTGTCTCGCGACTTTTACGGGTTTCACTATGTGCTTTATTGCTATTTACCTCCCCCCCCTCACTCGACGGTAGTATTCGACGGGAGGACAGAAGGACGGGAGGGGGGCGGAGAGATCGTATCAAGCCCAAAAAAGGTGAGTGTCCGTACAGGCGCGACTAAAAATCCCCATCTTAATGATGTGCCGTGGCCGAAGATTCCACAGATCCCATAGAGTATTAGGTCGCCCGTGATGGTTTTCTTAGCAGAAAAGCCACTCCAGGCCAAATATAAATAGTTTCTATGCAGCAGCTTCTTCACTGGAACCTACGAGGTACATTCTGTGGGGGAATAGAATTGGAATGGGTTACTCGGGGGATATTTCACTTTGAGACAACTGTCATCTTGTTCAGTGTTGTGAAAATATCAAAAGCACAACCAACCCCGATCGAAATTTGTCCCTGCTGTAGCCAGAAATACTTTGCCGGGAATAATTTGAATCTTACAAACTTCATCGCAGCGCCAGTCAGTTTTCCTTCAGTTCGAACTCGAGATTCCAGTATGATAATCATTTGCACATACTCCAGCTTGGGCCCCAGTGGGGATTTTGGTCTAGTCGTACGCCCCCCCCTCCCCTTTTTTAGACGGTTGATACGCCTGAAAAAGGTAGCAGAGGGAAGGGGGATATATAGTAAACATGAACCAGGAAAAATCACCAAAAGTCAGCTCCTTTCTTCAGAAATCAGAAGGAGAATACGACCTCCTCTTCCAGCAACAAACAAGTACGGCCCCTGCCATTTACAACATCCGTGAAGAAAAATCAATTATCAAAATAAATTTTTCACAGCTCAAACACGGCTCGCGCGCTCCCTGTGACCAAATAAGACCCTTTCCCTTGCGCCTTGGGGCAGCAAATGTGGAGTGGGGTAGCGGGATAGTATGGGTAAGCACTGCCTGAGAGTCCATAGAAGAATCTTATGGTCCTTGTATTTCAGGTCATTCGTTCGCCAATGGACTCTTCCAAAGGATGTCAACGTAGACGAGCTCAAATCTAGTATGACTGAGCAAGGCCACCTGTCTATCGAAGCTCCGAAAGTAAAACGACAACCTGCTGTCACTACCAAGACTATTCCAATTCATAAAGCCGTGAAGGATCATAAGGCCGAGAAGGAGCAATGAATTGATCCATTGCATATGGACATTGTGATGTACCTGAATGTTAGCACATCAAAATTTGATACGACCTCCTCACTATAGAAGTTAGTTTTTGTGTTGTCCTATATTTCCATTTTTTGTATTCAACCTACCCTCATGTCTTGGAATTAAATTTTACTGCTACTATTCGATTCAATACAAATCGTGACTGAAGAGTTTCTGACCACATAAAGGACCAAAGCAGGTACACTCGAAATCCCTCAGACGGGGTAGGCGTGGCTGCGTACTTCGACTAAACGTGGCGTTTGCTGTGCTTCTGGAGAGATATTTTCATGTCGACATAATTGTGGTCTAGTCTCTGTTCAACAAAAGTTGCTAGTTGTCTCAAAATGAATTATCCCACGAGTGACAGTCTAGGCGCAGTTTGTCGACGGGGGGGGGGCATTTTGCTTTCCATAGATGTGTCGACCCATCTAGGCAGCCGTTTCTCGAGTTGACACGTTTTAGGATAGTGGCTAGACGATCTTACTTCAGCTTCACAAGAGTTCACAAGTTTTACCAGAGTGAGATTTGTAAACCGGAACTAGGGAAGCAATGATAATACAAAATGCCCCCCCCCCCGTCGACAAACAGCGCCGACAGTCTATATCATAATCATATGCCCCGCCTACTGCGTCTCAGGGATAAGGAGTATAGAAAAGCTCCCACTCGTCGTGCCAGGAGAGGCAACATTGAGGGGACAGCGTGGCACCGTACATTTCAACTCCTAAATGAGTCGGGAGATAAAATGAATACTGGGGTTTGGGAAAAAATGAATGAAAAAAATGAAATGAAAAAATGAATGAAATACTGACTTAATTCTTGCAGAAAAGAAAGGGAAGTGCTCTTACCCGAACTGACATTCAGTGCTGCTGCTGTGAAGACAACATGCTCTACGGTCCTCAGTCTCCATCCATGAACTTCGTTACTGAATTCAAGAATAACTATGGCTAGGATGCCAATATTCGGCCATCGACTAGATTCCCAAGCGCGTATTCTCAGAGACCATGAGGGGGATCCGTTTGCTGGTGCAACTCGTACAGTTTGATCAAGGTTAAAAGCCTGATCTTAATATTCGGGAATTGTCTTTATCATCACGTATTCTCCCGACACACTTTTAGGCGAATGGGGGAGCAAAGGGTAAAGGAAAGCTGCTCGTCATGCTCCAGAGGCGGGTAGGCGATTATATGGCGGTTAATATAATATTAGGTTGGCGGGGAAGTTCTGTCTTCTGTCACACTTTTTCGAACTCAAAATACTTGCCCATTATCTGAAGAGGGGATAACCGGCATTGTGAGCACAGCATCAAGGAGTGGTCTTTCTATCAGTACCACTCGGTTGACTCCTGCTTCTTCTTCTGCATTATGGACAAGGATTTTGTCCACTACCATCGGCACCCACCCCTCCCAATCGCTTCCTCAAACAATTTCTTCCACCACCCTGACGCCAGCATGATAGCTGCAGATGCCAAAATAATGGAGCTGAATAAGGACGATGCCCTCAATTATCGGATAACCTCCCACGACGCTAATGCCTCAAACGGTATCCTACAGTTTTGATGACAAAGTGAGGTTTGAGTTACCTGTGAACTCAGACTGAGGGAGCTGCGGGTCGTGAAAGTGCTGCATGAAGAAGCTGCTTTCTCGGTCAATGCGTACGCAAAGCAGCTACAATCTGAAACGAACCATCGATCAGAGGGAAAATTTTTTCCGCACAGTCTTCAACGAGACAGTGCAGCCTACTCCATCCAAAGAAGTTCGAGCCTACCTCATGCAATAGAGCTGAGTGGCCCTCTCCTTGCAGCGGTATAGCCCAGACATTGCTCCTTCTAACTGCGAGTTGCCTCCCGTACTCAACCGTTATATGGACGAGAAAACCTCCACAACCCGAGCCAAGTCAAAATTGAGATGATGTCCAACTTTGCGTCGCGCCTCCCTGCATTGTGAAGCGATGGCATCCATGAGGTGCTCAAAAACTGGCAAGAACCCCGCAGTAACATTGTACAATTTTGATCTTACACGCCTCTCTATAAAAAGAAAGCCTAATTTGAAAAATGTGACAGAACTTTCCCGCCAACCTAATAGTCGGTAGTCTATCTTAAAGCGCGATGCTTCCCTTTGGCTCTCTGTTATGCTTCAGATTCCACTTTGCAAATGTAGGCGTCACTTAAAAACAACTGAATTGACTAAAAATCCAACAAGTGGGAAAACTGGCCTCCCAAACACTGTACAAACACAACGGAGAGATCGTAATTTGGTCCTTAGGAAGGGACATGTGAACGCCCTTGAAAAAATTTTTTTTGAAAGTCTATTCTCTTGGTTTTGGGTGTTCACCATCGGTAGACCCCCTAAAGGAGGTAGTGTTTTGGTATATGGGAGCGCGGCTTGTCGTAAAAATGCTTGTGCGCTGCCCTCCGGTCGACAATTGATCCTTGGGAGTATAACTTATGAACTGGTGGGCTCCAGATGGGTGAAAATCCAGGGGCGGGTAACATTGCGTATCAGCAGTATCAACAGACTTTTGATCTCTTCTTTGCTCGAGCGACATCGAATCTGGGGTGAAAGTGGGGTTGGACTGTCCGGTTAAGCCTGTTCCGGTAGCAAAAATCTGCCATCTCTGACATTCAGCCTCAATCGTTGTTACTCTCGAAAAAATAACAGGTGAAAGGTATGCAACTGCTACAATGAAAGGGATACATTTCGCCTCGCTGCACATCACTGACGAAATGTGGAGAAACTTTAGCGCAGTGAGTGAAATGGAGTGACACAAATCTAGTCGAGGTCGAAGAGACTTCGGTGATCACGTAATTGGTTTCGGAAAGCTTACCTTGGTA